AGCGCCAGTGGTCAGGCCAGGCAGCGGCCGCGTGCGCAGCACTTGGCAGGCCGCTGGCCGAGCGTGCACCCGACTGCCCGGTTCAAATGATCGGCAGTCCGGTCCAGACCGGTTCAGACCGGCTGGACCGGCTCAGCCAGTATTTTTCAGTTTTAGTCCCGGTTCATGATTTCCGTGTCATTTTCAGTAAAAATTCTGGGTTCAGTTTAGTTCAGTAAGTTCATGTCCGATCAGTTCATGTCAAGACCAGTTCCGGTTATACCGGTTAAGTCCAAGTATTATGTCATGTTCAGTACAGCATCTTAACATAATTAATCAGTTAATTTATCAGTCTGAGCATAGTCAGTAGTAATTGTTTATATTATGTTTCAGTTTGATCAGGCATCAGCAATACCTTCAGTTTCACGGATCAGGTGGGGACTCAGACTAAGTACTACATTGATTATAATTACGCTACCATGTTTGAGGTATGTATTATCTGTATCCGCTTGGAATGGTCGCCGGTCCATTCTGGGTTCTAGTGGCCTAATCTGCCCACTAGAGTGTGCACATGGTGTCCGGTATTAGTTTGTGCCGGCAAATTCCGGTATTAGTTTGTGCCGACAGATGTTCAGTTATCAGTTACGTGACTTATGTCGCGAGATCAAATCGGTATCAGATATGAGTTTCAGTTTCAGTTTCAGTTCAGTTATATATGCCAGGATCATGATATTGTTATTATTTTCAAGTCGGTTAATATATTATAACCGTTTTATTATTCAGTTCAAAATTTAACGGTTTTCAGAAAAGTCAAGTTTTCACGGTAGCATCCCGAATCAGTTTTCGCAGAATTAATATTTTATTTATTTATTTAGAAAAATTGCGTAAAACGCGAACTCTGATTTCAGTAAAAAGTCGGGGTGTTACAATTAAAAATTGCGAAAAACGCGTACTCTGATAGTATTAAAAAGTCGGAGTGTTACAATTGGTATCAGAGCACGTTTCTGCGTCTCTGAAAAGTTTTTCAGTCAGTAACTTTCAGAAAAACCTGAACCGTCACGCTCACGCCTCGCCGACTACAGGTAAGTGTTGATTCAGTTTTCAGTTATAAACATATTACTTTGTCTATGCTCAGAAATTATTAATTAGGATTTAGTTAAGATGCTCGAATCAGATTCAGACTTTAGAGTTCAGATATGACTCTAGAATTCAGTATATTCATGACTCTAGAATTTAGTATCTTTCGATATAACTCTAGAGTTCCTCAGAATTCATGTCAGTATTTATCGGCCACTTTTGGCAACTCGTCAAGAGATTTGTGTGCCTTAGTAATCAGTCAGAATATTATCACGTGTTCAATAATGTTGAACTTTCTCAATGTTCAGATGTCGCCCCGTAGGGAACCCGATCACCCGGCTCCTACTCAGGCCACAGTAGTCGCACAGTTCCACTACTATCATGCTGAGAAATTCTCCGGGCAGGGATATCCCCGTATCGTGGGCGAATGGATTCAAGGCCTTGAGTTTATCTTCGAGGTCATGGATTGTCCTGATAGATATCGCGTAATCTGCGCTCAGCTTCAGCTCACCGGTGATGCTCGGCTCTGGTGGAATGCCTACTGGAGCATGCGTCCCAGCGAGAAGGCGAGATGTACATGGGAGATGCTCAAGGTGCTGATCCGCGAGAAGTACTACCCCACCTACTACAGAGCAGAGATGGAGCGTCAGTTTCTATCGCTCCAACAGGGTACTCGTACTGTTGACGAGTATGAGAGGGAGTTTACTAGACTTGCAGTTTTTGTTCCTGACTTGGTTCGCACAGAGGCCCAGAGAGCGCAGCGCTTCATAGACGAGCTTTACCCAGCAGTCCGTCATAACATCGTAGGCCACGGGACACAGGCGTACGCTCGTGCAGTTTCGATTGCCCAGGAGGTGGATGCCAGCATCAGGAGGGAAGCCGTCCGTGATCGTTCTCAGCCATCCGCCCCTGCTCAGTCATCTTCAGCTCCACTGTTGCCACCAGCCCTACCAGCTGCCCAGCCACCGAACAATAACAAGAGGAAAGGGAAAGGTGCCCCGATGGACAAGAGGACTCGGCGGAGGCTACAGCAGATTCCACAGTGCCCGACATGCGGACGACTTCACCGAGGCGAGTGTCGCTTTGGTCAGGATGTATGCTACTACTGTCACGAGCCCGGACACTTCGCGAACTGTTGTCCGAAGAAGGCACAGCAGCTCCAGCAACCTCAGCAACCTCAGCAGTCTCAGCAGCCACCGCAGCAGCAGCAGCCACGTCAGCAGGCACAGAGGCCGCCTCAGAAACAGCAGCAGAGGGGCAGACAGCAGGCCCGAGTCTATGCAGTTGATCAGGCAGAGGCCGAGCAGCAGCCAGGTACTATGTCAGGGATGGTTGTGCTTAATAATGTTCCTGTGTTTGCTTTGTTTGATACTGGAGCGACACATTCTTTCATTTCACGACGATGTCTTGATGCCATCGGAGTTCATGCCGTTACCACTGTCGATCCTCTCGAGGTAAGTTTAGCCTCGGGACGAAAGATAGTGACCTCAGCTAAGGCTTCAGATTTCAGCCTTTCCATCGGTGGGCGTTCATTGTCTACCGACGCGTTTGTTCTCGAGATGAGGGACTTCGACCTTATTCTCGGAATGGATTGGCTATCCTTTTATCATGCAGATATCAGATGTCATGACCGGAAGATTACTCTCTATCTTCTGGGAGATGAGTCGATCACTTTCTTTGGTTCCAGGAATCGTTCATTGCCTCATGTTGTGTCGATGGCGAAAGCCACTAAGTTGCTGCGACGAGGCAACTGCCAGGGTTATCTGGTGAGCCTTGTCGATGACTCTCAGAAAGCACGATCACCTCACGATGTTCCAGTTGTTCGTGAGTTTGTGGACGTGTTCCCAGAAGAGCTTCCAGGAGAACCGCCTAACCGGCAGGTGGAGTTCTCGATCTATCTCATTCCAGGAGCCGGTCCAGTATCCAAAGCCCCGTACCGTATGGCGCCGAAGGAGTTACAAGAGCTTAAGACTCAGATTCAGGAGCTGTTACGACTCGGTTTCATCCGACCAAGCGTGTAACCTTGGGGAGCACCCGTTCTCTTTGTCAAGAAGAAGGACGGATCCATGCGCATGTGTATCGACTATCGGGATCTTAACCGGTTGACGATCAAGAACAAGTTTCCGCTTCCCAGGATCGACGACTTATTTGATCAGTTGAGGGGAGCTTGTATATTTTCAAACATTGATTTATGATCAGGCTACCACCAGCTGAAGATTAAGGAGTCAGATATCGCTAAGACCGCTTTCAGAACTCGTTACGGCCATTACGAGTTCGTCGTCATGCCATTCGGTCTCAGCAATGCCCCAGTAGTTTTCATGGACCTGATGAACCGTATTTTCCATCCCTACTTCGATCAGTTTGTTATTGTCTTTATTGACGATATTCTTATCTACTCAAAGAGCCAGAAGGAGCACGAGGAGCATCTGAGGGTGGTTCTCGAAACCCTCAGACGAGAAAAGTTGTTTGCAAAATTCTCCAAATGTGAGTTTTGGCTCCAGCGAGTAGCCTTTCTGGGTCATGTTATAACTCAGGCAGGTATCGAGGTGGATCCTTCCAAGGTCTCAGCTGTTCAGAATTGGTCGACACTGAGGAGTCCGTCCGAGGTTCGCAGTTTTCTCGGTTTAGCTGGCTATTACCGCAGGTTCATCGAGGGTTTTTCCAAGATTGCCCTCCCTCTATCCCAGCTGACGAGGAAGTCTGTGAGGTTCGAGTGGACTGATCATTGTGAGGCGAGCTTTCAGGAGCTCAAGAAGAGATTAACTTCATCACCGGTGTTAACTATTCCTGATCCTTCTCGGAGTTTCACCATCTTCAGCGATGCTTCGAGACAGGGCTTGGAATGCGTCCTTATGCAGGATGGCCAGGTCGTTGCGTATGCTTCACGTCAACTTAAGCCGCACGAACAGAACTATCCCGGTTTATGGATTAAGCAGGATACATATTGGAGGATAACCCCACTAAGACATCTAAGCCCAACGATATGGGTCAAGCCCAACTTGGGCCTAAAAGGTACACTCCCCCTATAAAAGGGGGTCAAGGTACCTCATTCTCTCATCCTCTATTCATTGATTACTACACACTCTCTCTCTTGATGTGAGGACTGACTTAGGCATCGGAGGCCCGACGCCGGGGCCACCCCCGGCGTTGGGTTCTGCAGGTACGGAGGCCGTTCGAGTTGAAGGAGCCCGGGTGAAACTTATTCACTTCATTGGCGCCGTCTGTGGGACCCGTAAAAAAAAGTCAAGTGGAGTTCCAACTGAAAAAATTGGAAAACCTCCTTCTTCTCCACCGGCCGCCGCCACCGCCGGCCGCCACCTCCGCCGCCGGCTGCCGGAAAATGTGCTTCGATCGGAAAATCGTTTACATCATTGGAAAGATCTCTTCGAGATGAATCTCCCTATAAAATTTCATGCAAAAATTCCTCCGGGAAGGCCGTCAATTTTGCGGTCAAAGTTTCCAGATCTAATAAAAGTTTGGTCAAAATCGAGCATTCAAATGCATTTTCCCGACGATCCGGAAGGGCTATGGAAAATCCGAGAGTACCACCGGAATCCTCTCGACGAGATGAATCTCCAGCTACCGATCTTCGTCGGAAACCGCCACCTCCGCCGCCGTCCGCCGCCGCCGCCGGCCGCCGGCCGTCGGTCAAAGTGGTCCGATCGAAAATACTTTTATACCATCGTGAAGCTCTTGTCATGCTCGTTCTACCTTTAGAATATCAAGCAAAAACTCCTCCGGTAAGGTAGTCGATTTTCGGGTCAAAGCTTCTGGATCTAAGATATTTTCAGTCAACTTCGGTCATCTTCTTCGTTTTTCCGGCGATTCCGGGGCGAACTACTTCAATCCGATGGCACCACCAGAATCGCCTTGTCAAGGCGCACACGTGGCTGGTTGCCTTTGCCGGATCTGATAACTTCTGTCTGGCGGATTTTCTCCGGTGAAGCCTCGACTGCTGTTGTTCCGATGATGTGCCAGCCTTCAGCCCAACGAGGAGGCCCGCGCGCCGTAGTCCAGCGAGGAAGCCCGTGTTCAGCGGCCCAGAAGAGAAGCTCATGCTGCTGACCCAATTCGCGTGGCCCAGGTGTGAAGCCCGCCTCATGGCCAGGCCCAATATCCCCGCCCGCAGCCCTGATGTCGCAAGAGGAGAGGAAATGTTCGCGGGCCGCATCCGGCCCGCATCCAGCCCGCGTCCTTCACAGACCTCAGCCCACACAGCATGCATCACTCATAGCACCCGGCCCGAAAGGCCCAATTGAGGCCCGCGAGAAGCCCAGCTGCCTGTTGCCCCTCCTGTAGGCCCAACAGCGTGGATTCGCGGCCCAAATGGCATTCAGCTGTGGCCCAGCATTCCTTGTGTGGCCCATGTTGCCCTTAAACCCTCCCAACTTGGTCCAATAGCCCCTTTTTGTGCTTAATACTTATTCGGGATAAATTGAACGCGGACCGTAAGGTAAATTTGAGGTAAAATTCTCATTGTGAAGCGTAGTCTATTTGATTTATTGGTAGAGCATTAATGGATCTATTTGAGGAGTATTACTTGACTTATACACGGAGCTTGATTGAATTAATTCGTGGATATTATTTGATGTGGTCGAGGAAACATTGTTTGGTTTAACCATGGAAAAATTATGTGATATATTTGATTGGTCATGGTGATACTTAGCTTGCTTGCGGAATTATTTGATTTGGTCGAGGAGAATTATTTGATTCATTTGTGTAACTATGTGATTTATTCGAGGAAGCTATTTGATATATTCGTGAGGATTATTTGACTAATTCGTGGAGCATTATATGATTTATGCTTGAAAATTATTGGATTGGAGTGTGGAAATATTCGATTTATTCATGGAGGATTATTTGATTTGCTCGGGTGGGATTATATGGAGTATTCGAGGATTATAGGGTTTATTCGAGGATTTATTTGGTTTCGTCGTGGAGAATCATGTGATGTGTGCTCGGATTTATTTGAATTGATCGAGGATACATTATTTAATTAATTCATGAGGATTATGCGATTTTTTCGTGGAAGGTATTTGACTTGTTTGAGGAGATACTTGGTTTATTCGTGAAAATTTTTGACTTGCTTGTGGAATTGTTTGATTTATTCGAGGAGTTACCTGATTAATTATGGAGGTATCTAATTTGTTCATGGAGATATTTGGCTTGTTCGTACAAATACTTGATTGACTCGTGGAGATATTTAAATTATTCAAGGGGATTATTTGATTTATTTGAGGAAAATATTGGATTTATTTGTGGAGGATTACTTGATTTGCTCGGAGGATTATTTGATTTACTCATGGATATTACTTGATTACTTCGAGGAGATACTATTTTGTTCAAAGTGATATTTGATTTGTGTGAGGAGACATTGTTTTGTTCGAGGAGATATTATATATTTTTTTTGTGGATATATTGGAGTGTTTGTGGGTATATTTGATTTGTTCATGATTATATTTGGTTTGATCGGGGGATTATCATATTTGATCGTAGATGCATTGGATTTGTTCGTTGATATATCTGATTGAAAATAAATGCGGTTCGTGATTTCGAATTGAGGATATTTTAGGAGAGTGTTTATGGTATTTTTTGGTGCACTTATCGATAGGCTCGAGGAGGCGGATTAAAATTATGTGATTCGATTTCTTGATATATCTGGAGCCTCTAATTTGAATTTTCATGTGAAAATGGGAATTTTATTGAAATGGATTATTCGTAATTTTTAAGCATGTCATTGCTCGAGCATGTCTTAAATCGAGGAGATGGTGATTTTTGTATTTGATCTTTTGTTTTTATTGCGTGGAGCATTTCAAAATGGATAACTTGAATATAATGATATCTCTCTGAATTCTTGTCGAGGAAACAACGGAATAACCCGAGTCTTGACGAGCTATGTCGGACGAGCTGTTGAGTGTCGGGGACAAGATGAGCGAGCATAGATCCATAAAAGGTGGGTGATAAGGAAGGACGAGCATGGATGATGTCGATCACCGGGGGCGATTTCAAAGGCAGAAATCATTCTCTTTTGGAGAGGTAGGATAATGAGAAGTGATATTCAAGATCTTCAGGTATGAAATTAATCTCAACTCATGTTTGCGGTCAAGTCCGACCGACACAATTCTGTGGTACCTTGAGTATCTTGACATTCTTTTTTTTTTGGAGGAATGTTCATTATTTGAATATTTTGGGCGAAATGTTGATAAGATTGTGGTGTATATGGATATGTTTGGAATTATCATTCCGGTGACTAACAAAATGCAAAAAATAAGGTGTACGTGGAGTATCGAACAAAACTTGGCATGACAAAGGCCTTCGGGCTGGCCAGTTTCAAGTCATCATGACTAAGGAGCTCGGTATTGGGAGTAATTCATCTAAATTTTCGTTTGGTGCATTCGTTTGATGGTTGTTTGTAGCTGCAAAGTATGGTTTGTTAAAATTATTTGTTGAATTCACGATTTTGTGAAATTCTGGTCGACCGCACCCTTGATAAGGTGTTTATGTGATGTCATACCGTGGTAGAGAGACTTGCATGTAAGTTGAGGTGTGATATACAAGCATGCAGACCAATTTGATTGTTTCGATTTATTCATCTCTTGCTATTATTGCTATGAGAATTGAAAATTGGATGATTTATATGAAATACGACTTTTGGAATTTGTCGAATTCTTGTGGAGAAAGATACATAAACAGGTGTACTGGATATTGGTTATGGTGAGGAATGGAAAGCATGGAGCAAACAACAACTCAAGTCATCGTGTACAAACAGGAAAGGGAGGTCGACAAATACGCTTGATTCTTTATCTTGTTCGATATACCTACGAATATTATGGGACTAATGCAAATGGTCAATTACTATTCTATCTTGTGGTGTTTGGTGTTTTCTTGCCGACCTCAGTGGCAGGTCGAAGTGTTCGAGAAGTTCGAAAGGAAAAAATCCACCATGACTAAGGCCTCCGGGCTGAGTGGTCGCATGTAACGACCACTCCCTCGAGGGTGGGCATGTGCTCGAAGATAAAAAATCCACCATGACTAAGGCCTCCGGGCTGGGTGGTCACATGTATCGACCACTCCTTCGAGGGTGGGAATGTGTTCGAAGACAAAAAATCCACCATGACTAAGGCCTCCGGGCTGGGTGGTCACATGTATCGACCACTACTTCGAGGGTGGGCATGTGTTCAAAGACAAAAAATCCACCATGACTAAGGCCTCCGGGCTGGGTGGTCACATGTATCGACCACTCCTTCGAGGGTGGGCATGTGTTCGAAGACAAAAAATCCACCATGACTAAGGCCTCAGGGCTGGGTGGTCACATGTATCGACCACTCCTTCGAGGGTGGGCATGTGTTCGAAGACAAAAAAAATCCACCATGACTAAGGCCCCCGGGCTGGGTGGTCGACTCTAATATTGGGTCGTTGAAGATATGGAGCTTATTGGAGACCTCAGAAGCAGGTCGAGGATCTTTACATGGTTTTGATTTTGTCGAATTCATTTTTCGACTTCAAGGGAAGGTAAATGGGATTCATTACGGATATAGCTCGAGCAAACCTCGGTGACAGGTCGATAGTATTCATGATGGCTCGAGCAGGTTGATAATTCCTTATTTCATTCTCATTTTGTCGAATTGATTTTTCGACTTTAAAGGAAGGGAGATGGGATTCATTCCGTCATGAGCAGGTGGATTGTGTTTTATCTTGGTTTTGTCGAATTTATTTTTCGACTTTAAAGAAAGGGAGATGGGATTCATTTCGTCATGAGCAGGTGGACTGCGTTTTATCTTGGTTTTGTCGAATTGATTTTTCGACTTTGAAGGCAGGGAGATGGGATTCATTCCGTCACGAGCAGGAGTATGCAACAGGCTTGAATTTTAACTTTTGAACTGAGGGGCGATAGGACGAGGTGGTATAAGAGAGCTCGAACATGGTGACCGAAACACAACAGACGTAAATTCAAATTTTCAAATTCAAGACTTCAAGGAGTGGTCATTCAGTTCTTGTTTTTCGACCTCAGAGGCAGGTCTCTCGATTCTTGATTCTCGGTGTTCGACCTCAGAGGCAGGTCTCTCGATTCTAGCTTCTCGGCGTTCGACCTCAGAGGCAGGTCTCTCGATTCTCGATTCTCGGCGTTCGACCTCAGAGTCAGG